GAAGGGATCCGGTGTTTCTGGTATGGCGGTGAGGGAGAGAGGGTCTGACTCGGGCTCGGTGATCCTGGTGGTGAAGGGCTGCTCCGGGTCCGTGCGCCTGGGGATGGCCCCCAAGCTCGAGTAGTCGACGCCCTCGCGACCCTCGTGCAGCCGGCCCGCAGAGTCCGCGCGCCGGCAGGACCGCAGGCTGTCCGACTGTTGGCGCAGGAAGAAAGGGCAACATTAAGAAGTGGTCGAATTGCACGAGGCGCAATAAAACAATGGTAAATTGTAAAATTTAAGTTGGTGGTATTTTAACAGGAACTGGCCCCGCATCGCAATATGTACCTTGCCAATGTTGGTGGTCTGAGGGAATTTGAAGACGTTGTTCTCCTGCCCTCTGGCCGCCGCTAGACTGCCCGGAAGCGAGAACCTGCTCACCGACTCCTTCATCCTGGATTTGGTCCTATTCGTTGGATTGGGTGAGTTGTCCGGACTTAACTGAAGACTCCAGCTCGACCTGCAATAGAAGATGGCGCAGATTGCGTTGGTGTCGGCTGTCAAAACCAGTAGTTCCAACTGTCCTGTTCCTCCAGCGCGTCAGCATGTCGGCTCTTACCTGGCCAGGTCGTTCTCAAGCGCTACCCTCAGATCGGCGGAGTCCAGGTTGACTTGCCTCCTTTTGGCTCTGGGGCTGGCCTGTATTACGGCTTCCACAGCATCCTCCAGCGTGTTGGCGACATCCGCGGCCGCCTCGAGGAGACTGAGAGAGCCGGGCGTGGACATGGAGAGGTTCGACTGGAGCCGCGCGCCGGCGGGCCCCAAGGTCGCCGCCCGCGTCTCCAGCGGGGACTGACTGCGCGGCGGCACCGGGGGCGGCTCCAGCATTCGCTCGGGGGCGGGCGACGGCGTCCTGGACACGGACCGGCCGCAGTCCTCGGGGTCGGCGGCGGCCGTGTCCGGGACGAGGGTGGTCGCTAGCTTGCCGCTTCCGTCCGAGGACCCCGCCGAGCTCCGGTTGTTGTTGGCCACGCTGATGACGCTGTCCACGCTGTCGGGCGAGGACACGCCGCTCGAGTCCGAGTCCACGTCGTCGGTCTCGGGGTTGAACAGCTCCAGGGAGAGCAGGCGCGGCGCGGCACGCGGCGGGGCGGGCCGGGGAATGCTGCCCGACGAACGGCGCACCAGCGGGAACATGCCGCGGCCCGCACCTGCAACGGAGGGGCCAGTTCAGGTCAGGAGGTCACCACACCGACCGACTCAATATCAGTCAGTTCTCTACTCACCACCAGTCTTCTGACGGGACATGAGCATCTCTTTGATCTGCTGCAGGCGCCCTTCGTGGTCCTTGGCGCGCGAGCTGGCGGGCGGTAGCACGGGGACCAAGGGCACGCTGGGCACGGCGCCCAGGGGCACGTTGAGCGGCAGAGGGCTGAGCGGCCCCATGGGCCCCAGGCGGGGCGAGCTGGGCAGCTGCGGCGGTGAGGGCGAGTGCTGCCCGGAGTAGAGCAGCACCTTGGGCGAGGTGGGCTGCGGCAGCTGCGGCGAAGCCGGCGCCGACGTGCACAGCGTGGGCGACGGCGTCTTGGGCCCCAGGGCGTCCTGCCCCATGTACTGGTCCGCCTTGGGGATGAAGATGACCGACGCGAAGCTGTCCTCCGAGTCCACGCTGGTGTCGCTCTGCAGACTGCAGTCGAGGAGATCGTCGTAAGGTTCAAACTCCCGAAAAGATTTACGAGCACCAAGTTCACCGCCGCTCCTACCTCGAGTCCTTGGACGAATCGGAGCCGTCCTCCCTCGAGTGCCTGCGGCCGCCCTCCGACCCGCCCGACGAGCTCCTGGCCCTCATGTCGTCGGCGCCGTTGATGCTGCCGCTGGAGGGCCTCTTGAAGCCGCTCATGTCCGGCGGCGGCGTGGAGGGCGTGAGCGAGCCGCTGACACTGGGGGTTGTGCAGCTCGCCTGTCTGCTGGGCGCTGGTGACTGCAAAACCGGCACTCGAGTTCACAACACGGCTAGGAACTTAATCGAACCAGGCTTAAACTTAACTTTCCCAATTTTTGAACTTTGGTAAAGAAAACGGGACTCACAGTCATGGGCGACGCCTCCCCTGCCTGCTTCCAGCCTTGGAGCATGCGTACGAAGCCGTTCTTGAGCGATGTCCCGGCCACCTTCTCAATGTTGGTCGTGGAACTCTTGAGCTTACTGGTCAGTCCGATTTTGAGCAACTGGAATCGTTTCGCAGTGGAGGCGGAGAAAAGCGTGTCCCTGTAGGGAGGGGAAATACAATATGTGAAACAGTGATCTTTAATACAAACGTTAAAATTGTAAAACTAAGGCTTCCCCTTCTAGTAAGTATTCCTTGCAAAAAACAGCCCAGTTGTTTTTCAATATTGTGCGAGAGTGGCACACAATGCTCTCACCTGAGCGAGTCGAGGGTGCCGGGTGCGCCGGCCCCGGGTCGGTGGCGGTACATGAGCTCCTCGTTGAGCGAGGCCTGCTTCTGGATGTTCTGGCGGACGCGCTCCTTCTCGCGCAGCCGCTCCGTCGACATGAGCTCCTCGTTCATGGAGCTCTGCTTGAAGACGTTGAGGCGCGGCGTGCGGCCCATCACGTGGCCGCCGTGCAGCCGCTTGAAGTCGGGCAGCGCGCGCACCAGGTTCCTCATGTCGGTGGGCTGGTCGCCACCTGGTTCACACAAGACATGGAAACTCGAGAGGGTCTCGTCGACAAAATAGAAAAATACAATTTGAATATTTTGGGCCGGCCTTACGGCGCCTTACGGGCAGTGCGGCCGTGTGGCACTAAGCTTTTGACGTGAATCACCCCCGTGCAACCGGCAGTTAAAATACCTCTTAGAGCCGGATTCATTTTACCTGCAAAATTATCAAAACTGAAAAAAATGTGGGCCCTACCCACCCCGCTTTGACACGGGGACCCGCCTGTTTAACTTCGGAGTTCGGTATGGGATCCGGTGCTTTCAGGCACCCAGCTGAGGGCCGGGTTT